CGAGAGGGGCCCCCAGGGACGCGGCCCCGCCGCCCCCTCCCCGGGCACGCCAGGCCCCGCCGCGCCGCTGGAAAGCAAAGGCAGAAGCCAGAAGGAAATGGGGGTTTATTGCAGGAAAGAGCTGGGCCGGGCCTGGCCTTCGCGGGGCTCCGCTGTTACAGGGCAGAGCCCCTTCCAGCGCCTGGGAGGGGTGATGTGGGGGTACCCCAGCCTGGGGAGCATCGCAGCCCCTGCCTCTATGCCCCAGTTCTCTTTCCCCTCCCCAAAGGCAGGTTCCCATTCCTCCTTGCACAAGGCACTCATACCTCAGCTTTCCTGCAGGGAAACTGCATTAACCCCCCTCCATGGGCATGGAAAGCCCCAACAGAGGTGTGGGGGCAGCCGCCTCCCCTCCCAGCAGTACCAGGATTTGTCAGGGCTTTCCTCCCCTGACTTCCCACATCAACACAGACCCGTTGGTGCAGGCACAGGACACTGCCAGCTCCAGGACCCTGCTGACAGGACAGCCACTGCAAGCAGCAGCTGGAACCCCTACAGCAAGGCAGCAGGACTGGGGACAGGACTTGAGCCTCTCCTTAGTAAAACATTTAAGTTACTGGGTTGTAGGGAACAGGGGTGGCAGAGCAGGAGGGACAGGGAATGTCTCACCGAGTGCTTGGTTTCTGCCCCCATGGCAGAAGGAATCACAGGGCAAATGCTCCTGGAGTCAGAGCACGGGGCACATGCAAGACCCCCACCCTGGCATAGATGACCCCCCTCTCCAGGATCCCCCTCGGAAAGGTCTGAAGTGTTGCAAGAAGGAAAAGCTCCCTTGTCGCAATCAGTCCTCCCCAGGGCAGTGCTGAGCAGCTGGTCCTTGTGCAGATCCTGAGACCGTCCCATTGCAGCAGTAAGAGACCTTCCCTTTTCACAGTCCTACCAGCATCCCATGCTCAGATCTTGGAGGACTCCACCCGCTCAATCCACGGGGAGTCGGCACCGACGTCCCTGGGCTCTGAGCGCAGCTGCCGCAGCTCCCGCTCCAGCGCCTGGCTCCGGTGGTACATCTCCATGTAGCTGGCCTGGAGCTCCCGCTGGTACCGCAGCACCTTCTCCTTCTCTTCCTGCCAGGTTTTCCTCTCCAGCTCAAAGTTCACAGCCTGCAGCTGGCCCTGGCGCCGCTCCCGCAGCAGCTCTGCCCACAGCCACTCCACTTGCCGCTCCAGGGGCTCCGCCGTGTCGCTGTGAAGGCCTCGGCACTTGGAGTCATCAGTTTCACAGCCAGGAAAGTCCTGGCACACTGGCATGGGGTCGTCACCCAGCAGCAGCGGGGCACTGGGCTCTGGGGGGCTCTGGAAGGAGTCTGCCAGTTGTGCCAGCTGGGAGTCCCTGGCCTGGACCTCTGCCTTGGCCTCCCGCAGCTGCGTCTTCAGGCTGAAGATCTCACCCAGCTTCTGAGCCATCTCCTCCTGGGTGTCCCGGAGCTGCTGCTTCAGCAGAGAGATCTCTGCTGCCTTCTGGCACACCTGCAGGGCAGAGGTGAGCGGTGAGGAAGAGTTGGAGGAGCAGGACCTCAGGGGTGGCAGTAACCCAGGCTGTCACCACAGCATGCCGGGGAGACCACGAGCATCACACCTGCTTTGTCTGCCCCCAGCCTGTGGCCATGAGTGACAATAGAGCAGGGAGCCAGTGGCCCCATCCTGGCTCCAGGGCCAGGAGGGTGGCAACAGGGAGAGAAGGAAGGGGGACTCACCTCCCACTTGGTCTCCTCCAGCTTGGGGCTGACGCGCTCGCCCTGGGTCTGCCGGAGCTTGTTCTCCTCACACTGGCACTGCTGCATACTCAGCTCCTCCTGCAGCCGCTTCTTCTCCTGCTGTGCTTTGCAGAGCTGCAGCTGCAGCGCCCGCTGCCCGCGCTGCGCCTGCTGTGTCACCTGCTGCAGCCGGGCCACGTACATCTGCTTCAGGTCCTCCAGCTCATCCAGCCACAGCCGCTGCTTGTCCTCAAACACCTGCCACCACACATGGGCACCAGTGAGGGTCTGTCACCTGCCCCTGTGTGGGGCAGCCCAAGGGATGGATCCCAGAACTTCCCATGATGTTGGGTCTTCCCACACCTAGACATTCCCATCCCATTTCCCACCGTGGCAGGACACCAGCTACTTCACTGCTCCTTCCCCCCAGGCACTGCTGCTCCACAGCCCTGCCTGGCGCACCCAGCACAGCCCCAGCCCCAAGGCTCACCTGTGTGAAAGGGTCTTCAGTCTCACTAAGGCTCCTCTTGAGCTGCCGCAGCTCTCCTCCTGTCTCCTGCAGCCGGTCCTCCAGCTGCTTCACAGCATCCTCCAGCGAGTAGGTGAACTCGTAGGGTGGTGGGGGCTCCCCGGGGCTCTGCAGCCGGCTCAGCGTGGCCATGCTTTTGCAGGACAGAGGTGCCTTCTCAGGGGCCAGAGGGTCCCTGGGGCTCCGGGAGACCCTGTCCAAGGAGCCTCCGATGTGGTTGATGTGGCCCATGGAGGCGCTGAATTGGCTCTGGGCAGGTTTGAGGCGGGAGCCATAGGAAGGGAAGCTCTGGATGGAGTTGTGGCTGGAGTCGGAGGCTTCATCCAGGCTGATGGCGTGGAGCAGGTGGGTGCGGAGCGGGCCGTGCTGCGAGGCTGCCGTGCTGCTCTGCGACAGCAGCGTGTGCAGGCTCCCGTTGCTCTTGGACAGCTTCTGCCCCTTAGATGAGGACAGGCCCTGCATGGAGACCAGCCCTTTCCCAGCCACCGCCTTGAAGGCTGAGGGCCTGATTCGGCACTGAAAAACAAGAGCAGCATCAGGATCAGCCCAACAGCACCAACAGGCACCCAGAGCCAGGGAGAACCCGCTCACTCTCAGCAACATATCCATGGACGTTCTCAAATCCCGACATTCCATCCCTCT